TGCATTGACGCCTTTGTGAACGCCACCGCGCAGCTGGTGCCTCTCGCTGATGACCGCCTGAAGATGCCCCACGTCTGCTGCAACGGCGTCAAGTTGATCGCCTGTCTCAATCGACAGATCGACAGTCACGCCTGTCTGGTGCCCAACCGGGACCGACTGCTGGGCATTCTGCAGGGCGCTATCTCGGGCGTCAGTGACCTCGCCTGCAGCGAGTACACCGAGTCCTCCGACAAGTGCGACCGCCTGGGAGAGCCGCCCAAACCAGTGAAGCCCAACAAGAAGATCTACCACGCCGTCGTCCTGGTGCTCATCGACCTCATCGTGTCGATGAAGAACTTTGCTGCAGCTTCTTAAGGTTGCCTCATCAGTGTAACAGTTGTGGGTATTTATCGCCTTCATTACCACTCTAACACAGTATCTTCATTCATTACACAAAAATGCTGAACATTGCCCTTCAGTACCCTTTCTCAGTATCATTCTCTCGCATCTTATCATCTGAACTTGCTGTTGAGTGGGAGTTTTGTAAAAAGTAAATAAACCATTTGTGCTAAACAACAACAAAAAACAACTGCGAATCATTAGAAATGGAAACCCTCTAAAGTGGAAAATCTCTAATGGAAAAAATTGGTTCAAAGTCGACTTGTCGCCGATAATCGTTTCGCGCACTTGTCATTTCGGCCACTTGTCAGGAAATCATTTTGCAGCGGTCATGTGATTTTGTTGTTGATGTTTTCGCCGCAAGGTTGATACGGCACAACTCTTGATGCCTTAGATCGCCAACAACCATTCCAGAGCCTGGAACCTAACTTGCCCTTTCTGTGATTAAACTGTAAGAATTTATCACTGTTCATGCCTTTACTAATCTGCTCCTACTTTTTACCACAGACTCTCAATAGTCGTGGGACGAAAAATCAACTCGAGTGCCAACAATTGGTTCTAGGTTAGTGCTTTGAAACAACACCACTGTTTGAGGTCGTCATCAAGTTGGCTCCTCGTGTTTTTTTGCGGGAGATTAACCAACAAACAAACAAGCAAACAAAGGGCGATATCAGTCATGTGGGTAGTAGTGGTGGTGATGGCAAAGAGAGCCGGACTTTTCTTCATCTTGCCTTGGTTGTGGAGTGAGTCAACTGACTAACGCCAGCAATGAAAGAAGGTCGTAGTGATAGGCAAAAAAAGAGAAAGAGAGACTTGGCAACTGGCAGAACACCAGACTGCCTGCCAGACATGTCTACTTTTGCACATTCCCTGCACATTGTTGCCCGTTGACCGATTATCACACACACATCGCCCACCAGGCGACAGTAATCTGGGTCCAAATAATCAGTAGCAAACTGCAACAGTAGCTGCCGATTGGCCTGCCAATTTGAATGTTTGCCAAGATAAACGAGCAGCAACAACGCCACCACTGAAATGGCACCACCGACGGCTTTCGTATCGGCCCTCGCCTGAGGAGATCGAGTGATCGTCGACGACGGCATCCTGCTGACGATGTACTCTTGCATTTTCATTCAGCGATCCAAGTGCTTTGATTTGAGCGGAAGAAGAATAATCCAAGTGCGCTTGTAGGAAAGAATAATGACACAACTATCAGTTGCACTTGAAGGGGGAGAGATATTTGACAGTGTTTTGAGGGCATTGCTACGGCGAATAGTAAACATTCAACAGGAGACCTTTTAGGGTACATTAGATTCCTTCCATTTGATGATTTTTCTAAGCTGTCAGGCCAGAAACTCGTTTAGCTGCATCTCATGTACGCCGTGTACTCTTTTCGGACAGTTTTAATTGAAATTTAAAATGTAGGCTAAAATTGATTACCAATTAGCAACCGGTTCAACCATCCACAGTTGACAATCGCCAGTTGGCAGTAAGCTTACTCGGTAGACACTATAAAGCTTCTAAAGCAAATAAACATTCTTTGACCTTCAATTTTTAATTAACTACTCATTCTTTGTTTTGTTTTCTAGCCGACAGACACCTCTTCTAGTGATTGCAACACTGTTAAATCTTCATCACTGCTGGCTTCCGCCAAAAGTCCATACTGTCCTCGAGTTGCGCCATTGCAGGGTCGAATCAGCATCAGCATCATCCTCCTGCGGCGCGTGCATCTCCTCTCCACCGCCAATTTCCCCGCTGTCCTTATCATCTTTCGGCAATTACCTAAAGAAGCTATCAGCTGGCAGGTTTATCAGCGAATGCGCCAGCATCAGCAGTTGTTTTCAGTGCGAAAAGTGGCCGACTGGAGTTGGAGTGTGTGACTATCCCAAATAAGGCTAATGCACGCGGTCACTGCCGGAGACGGCAGTCAGCTACTGCAGTGGCCCTACTACAGTCTTCCTTGTTGATAAGCAAGTAAACAAGGCAGGGAGGGAGGGCAGGACACTTATCACTAGATCAGCCACTGGTTAAGCGGGGCTCTGAGGAGAGGGGTACGCTGGTGGTGGTCAAGCGGTGAGGTCATTTCTGGGTCCTAGGGTCTCTCACCTGGTGCGAATGAATTCTACCTTCGCTGCTGGTGAAAGACAGGCACCCTTCAATGGACAAAGCAGCAGCGGCGACGGTGCAGTCAAGCGCAGTGCAAACACTAGCGAACGCAGGAACACCACGGCAGTACCACTGCGAAGAAGAAGAGGGCCACTATCTGCTGATGATGCCGCCCCTGTCGACAATCTCCTCTTCGATATCGCCCAGTGCGCTGGTTGGCCAGCAGGCAGCAGGCGCTCTTGAAGCAGCAGTAGCATCAGGGGTGGTGAGTACAGGCACTACACACACACACACTGAGTAGAGGGTGACACGTCATCGGGAGGAGACGCCCACCGGCACTGGACTGCCACCGAAAGCATGTCTGTCTGCATCTCCCTAATATGGATATCAGTTGGATATGAGTGTCCTACGGTGAATGATGATGATGGTGCCGTCGATTCAGAGGTTGAGGCTGAAGCTGAAGCTGAAGCTGAAGCTGAAGCTGAAGCTGAAGCTGATGATGATGATGGTGATGATGGCCAATTGGACAAAGTTGAAGCACACAGGCCACATAAAAGTGACCAGNTGATGGTGATGATGATGACGGCCAATTGGACAAAGTTGAAGCACACAGGCCACATAAAAGTGACCAGAATCAATGAAGACAGCTTTAGTCGCTCGACTTGCTGATCAACATTTTATTGCTTTTTGCTGTGCATTTTCGTCTTTGTGAAAGTTAATTGAACGCACAAACTTGCTACTTTTTACCTCTACCTTTATTTGTTAACAATGGGTTTCGTTTTCCAGAATGACTCATCGAGTGAAACGAAAAAAGTATTGCTGCAATTCTTTGGCCAGGTATGCTCCACTCAACTTCACTTGTTCCGCTCATATCTCATGACACCTTACTTTAAACCTTTCACCCCTGCTCACACAGCACCCAATGCTCAAGTCCTTTGTTGCGGGCTCACTCAGTGGAACGTGCTCTACCTTGCTCTTTCAACCATTTGATCTCGTCAAGACGAGGATTCAGAATGCCAACTTTGCCTTTTCCACTTCCACGGGTGCCTCCACGACAGCCATCACTGCTCCGAATCGAATAACCGGTGTGCTGGTTGACGTGGTCAAAAATGAACAGGTGATTGGCCTTTGGAGAGGGACAGTGCCGGTAAGTTGCGGTTAGTTGGACATTTGAGCACTCTCTAATCGGGAATATTTTTGCCCTCTGCACAGTCTCTCATTCGCTGTGTGCCTGGTGTCGGTCTGCACTTTTGTTGTCTAGACACACTGCAGGCACATTTCTGCTCTGGACGACAGCCAAAGGCAGCGGAAGCGCTGGTCTTTGGCATGGCCTCGAGGACACTGGCCGGTGCACTTCTCATTCCAGTGACGGTGGTGAAGACCCGCTACGAGAGCGGCGTCTTCCTCTACCGCAGTCTGGGCGACGCCATCAGACACACATATCGAAATGAGGGAGTTCGCGGGCTCACCTCAGGCCTGGCGCCCACTCTCATGCGAGATGTGCCCTTCAGTGGTCTCNTGGCGACGCCATCAGACACACATATCGAAATGAGGGAGTTCGCGGGCTCACCTCAGGCCTGACGCCCACTCTCATGCGAGATGTGCCCTTCAGTGGTCTGTACTACATGTTCTTCAGTCAGCTGAAGGCGGTGGCCATGCCCATGGTGCTGGGGGATGGCGACCAGAAGAAGCAGCAGATGGGCAAGAGCAAATCAGTTGTCAGCACTTCAGTGGTCACATTTCTGTGCGGCGTCAATGCTGGCCTGCTGGCATCGGTGGTCACCCAGCCAATGGATGTGGTAAGTCATGAGATGGGTGCTTTTATTATTTCTTATGGCATTATTTATTGTCATTATTCCGGAGGTCTCATGTGAGCAAAATTATGTGCGCGCAAATCTGTCCGTTTATCACTGACTGTTCTTGTGACCACTTACATACTTACACTCACTTATGTCTATGTGTTGTGTTTGTCAACACTGCTGAACATTCGCCTTGTGCACGCTGCAATTCAGTGATACTCTCAGTGAGACGCTGCACTGCTTATCGAATATTGCTAATAGTCAGTGAGAATGAATGCAGTGATAAGGGCAGACAGTGTCTGCGCCCTTTTGCATCCAATGATAAACAGAGAGTGCAGTGCAGAGGACGGCAGTGCACTCAGCTACTCGTGTTGTGCGGTAACCTTGCTCTCACTCCGGTGGTGACCAGTTTGTCCTTGTGTCCCTATCTACTTTTTTTTACTGACAACCAATTTCTACTTCTTTCATCAGGTGAAAACGCACATGCAACTGTACCCGAAGCAGTATCCCAGCTTGATGGCCACTGTGATGCACATCAGCAAGAGCAAAGGACCACAGGGTCTCTTTAGTGGACTAGTGCCGCGAATGCTCAGGCGAACTCTGGTCGCTTCGATGGCCTGGACAGTGTACGAGCAGATGATGAAGTCAGTCGGCATCAAATGAAGATCATTTCATCATCACCACCCACTGAGCAGCCCATTATCATCAACTGGAAGCATTACGAAACCAAAAACGCATCTTCACATTACCATTATTATTTTGGCAATTCATCCCCGCCACCACCATCACTCGTGCCTTATCACATTACTCTTGTTATTTTGTTGTTGTTGTTATTACCACGCCAATGTTGTGTATACTGTTTACCATTATTATTCTTTTTTATTATAAACTGTGTATATGAGTGCAATAAAACACTGTTACTTACACTTCTATTTATTGAAATAAAAAAATCATGAAAACATTTAGATCGCGTGTGTTGAAGAGCTACCAATAAAGTTTACTTGTAGTTGGAGTTTCTGCACCTTATCAAGCTCTTTGATTAGAATGTTGTGGGTGAGACCAGACTAGAAAAATTGCAGTTTCCTGACGTTGCAAGCGTTCTCAAAGTACCAGTTATTGATAGCTTTGGCTGTCAGCGAACTAGCGCTACTTTGCACCGATTTCAGTTGCTGCTTTTCCATTTCTTCACAAAGTTTACAAAATAGAACCTCATTGTAATGAGTGCTTTGTTTGTCAGTCCCAAAGTTAGCCTTCCATTCAAAGTACTTCAGGTACTCAGCTGGGTCGTTGGACAGTTTTTGAAGTAAAGCAGCTAAATCAACTGGCTTCATTTCAGTGGCGTCAATGTAGGAATGAGGCGGCATAAAATCTGAATAGTTGGCGCCACCGAAAACAATGGGAATGAGATTGTAGTCCAGAATGTTAAACAGTTTCTCAGTAACATAGTCCCTAAGAAAGTATGGGCAAGTGTTAAAGAGTTTCTCACAGTTCTTCAATGCACTTACCTGCAAATGGAGTTTTCAAAACTTAAATAGAACCGGTATTCACGTGCTATCTTCCGGTAGCACTCATAGCTGTTTGGTGGCAAGCAGTTGAGATGCCCGCACTTGCCGTAGACGTCCACTTGAATGTACCGAGCAAGCTGCTTGACGTAGTCTTCTCGATGGCTGGTCGTGTGACAGTTGCTTACAAACCAGGCAATCTGCTTCGACTTGTTTGCCACATCAACTGAAGAAACTTCAGCCGTTTTCCGCCGTCTCTTAGGAACTATTCGCCCATAAGGAATGTTTATGTGGGAATCACGTCGGTAGTTGGCTGTCAAGTTAAAGCTAAGCAAATCATTGTCCTCCGGCAGGCGTTGTGTGTGCGGCGGTGCCTCCAGGTTGTACAGCGTCCACAGTTGACTGGGCGATCGATCACCTGGTGGAAGGTCTTTTGCGTTCAAGTCGCGCCAGTGGAAAATGACCGACTTTGCTATGGGATAATGTGCTCGGTTTGTTGAGAAGAGACATCGTGGATACTTTGTAAAGCACTGCTTTGGACGGTAAAACACACTCTGGTCATCGTCCGCACCGAAGATGACATGAAAAAAGGAATTGCTCTTTTTAGTGAGTGCGTCTGCTGAAAAATACGGCGTCCAGAAAAGGCCCAATTGGATACTGTAAAACAGGTAAACGTTAGTATTTAAAACGTTGAAAGTTAAAACACCTCTCTTTCTATGCTTACCTATTTAAATGATAGGGCCTCAACTCGACGAAAGGTGAGAATTCTGTAGTGTGATGAGCACTTGAGTTTGGATAGCACCGGTTGGTGTCGTTGATCAAAGCACATGGAGTAAAGAGAGGAAAGGCACTCGGCACTGGCGTGTCTGAGCCGAGTAGTAGTCGATCAAAGAGGATTATGACGAACCAAAGGCAGAGGAAAATGAGTATGAAAAGGCGCAGGTAATAGAACAGACATCGACGCAGTATTAGAGAGGACATGATAATGCCGGAAGCAGGTGTTGCTAATCAGTTTCAACTGTGAAGAAACCGTTGAAATCCGTTGTCAGCTAAAAGCCATCTAGGAGAGTTTGTTTCTACCGGTGTTCGAGTGCTACCTAACGATATGCATAACTTGTCAATGTCAGTGCTCGGTTACAAAGATTATTTTGCCAAAGCACGAAGTGCCTTGATAAAGCTAAAAGTCTACAGTACACGAGAGCATTGTTGGTGTGATATGAAGAAGAGCAGCAGTTAAAAATTATCGATGAAGGCCACCACTTTGTGTGTTATAAATACATCAGATTTGAGAATGCTTGAAATGTGTGTGAACGTTACACCAAAATAGATGATTGATGTATGAGCTGAATTGTTCAATAATATGCTTGGAATGCTCTGGTAATAAGCTACAACTTGTAAAGCTTATAGGAAAGATAGAAAGATTTTGGAAACGTCCGGAAAGTTGTAAGTAGTTCAAACAAATACTGACTAATTTGGGTGAAAGAAAATCCAAGCTATGAAGGTTGGATAAAAGGAAATCTTTTGGAATCAGCCAGGCTTGAGCATCAAGAAAGAAATGTTGTTTTCTATGAGCATATTTAGTGTAAATTTTTACGTTGAGTATAGTTGTTTAATAATATTTTCCGAATACTTTATAACTTCTTTTCCATATCGGTAGCTTTGGTTTGTTGTTTAGTTGTGATCTTTGGCAGGTGGTTGTCGTGCTCTGACCGCACTGCTTCGAGGTCCACTTTTTCACTTTCCTTAGAACATTAGCACATTAAACACGTCGTGCGATATTGTAGGCAGGTTTGATTTGCCATGGTAGGGAGTTGTAAACAAGGAAGTGACCACTCACGTTGCGCGGAACACAGTGGTCACTCCACGACACTGCACTGAAGCATTGTTTTCAAGTCGCACAAACAAGCTAGCCGCCGCTGCAGAACATTTCACACAACGAAACAATCGAGCACTATCGATACCTATTTGCGGATTCTTCCACTTTTGACAATTCGCCTTTGAACTTTGCGGCATTTAGATAGCACCATTTTTATCACACATTTTNACACAGTGGTCACTCCACGACACTGCACTGAAGCATTGTTTTCAAGTCGCACAAACAAGCTAGCCGCCGCTGCAGAACATTTCACACAGCGAAACAATCGAGCACTATCGATACCTATTTGCGGATTCTTCCACTTTTGACAATTCGCCTTTGAACTTTGCGGCATTTAGATAGCACCATTTTTATCACACATTTTGTACAATTTTGCATCCACTTTCACAAAACACAATTTCCTTCTAATTGCTTCATTATTTGTACGTTTTTTACTTTACCGTGTTTTATTATTATAATTGTTATGCAGATTATGATCATTATAGTATTCTGGTTAGACTATATGCTAAAAAGTGTTTGGCATCGATTGAGTAGGTCGAGTAGAGTCAACTGTTTGTGTTTGCACAGATGGTTTACACTGTCAAAGAGTATGCTTCCAATACATCAAAAGCGGAATGTCCTTTGTCGTTTAACTGGTACAAAAGTGTGATGCTTATAAAAAGTACAATTGTGCGCTAGTCAGTTGGCCACAAACAGGAAAGGGTAAATGGGAATAAGTGTGAAAGACACAACTGCGATTGCTGAATAACGCTTGAAGCAGTAAAAGTGCTGACTCTTTTAGGCCAACTTATTGTAGGAATCAGTGGGATTTCGCCTTCTTCTCGGGTTCTTTCGCCCGTCGACGTACTCAAATTCGTAGCCAAAGAAGGCGGCAAAGAGAAACACCAGGCCAAAAATAAGAAAGGTGATGACGCTGATGATCACCGCCACCAGACTGGCAGGCTCCAGAACTGATCGAGCAAAAAATCGCGACATTGCCCAGATGGCAAAGCTGATGAGAAAAAGACAGGGAATGGCGATGAGACCAATGTCGAAGGTGTTCTCAATCAGTGGGTTGCNCAACTGTTTGTGTTTGCACAGATGGTTTACACTGTCAAAGAGTATGCTTCCAATACATCAAAAGCGGAATGTCCTTTGTCGTTTAACTGGTACAAAAGTGTGATGCTTATAAAAAGTACAATTGTGCGCTAGTCAGTTGGCCACAAACAGGAAAGGGTAAATGGGAATAAGTGTGAAAGACACAACTGCGATTGCTGAATAACGCTTGAAGCAGTAAAAGTGCTGACTCTTTTAGGCCAACTTATTGTAGGAATCAGTGGGATTTCGCCTTCTTCTCGGGTTCTTTCGCCCGTCGACGTACTCAAATTCGTAGCCAAAGAAGGCGGCAAAGAGAAACACCAGGCCAAAAATAAGAAAGGTGATGACGCTGATGATCACCGCCACCAGACTGGCAGGCTCCAGAACTGATCGAGCAAAAAATCGCGACATCGCCCAGATGGCAAAGCTGATGAGAAAAAGACAGGGAATGGCGATGAGACCAATGTCGAAGGTGTTCTCAATCAGTGGGTTGCCCACCAGCCAGTCGACGACTTTGACCCGCACCGGACACTCCGGGTGTTCCTTGTTCATTGAGCGCTCTAGCTTTCTGGCATGGTAGCCCAGCTGAAACCATCGAACTGGTA